TGAGACACACACACTGTCCTGATGTGACTGATGTTTAGCATCAAGGTCAGAGAGTTGTGTGTGTGTGAGCACGTGGAGACATTTGTATGCAGATTCTCAGAGCAGCTGATTTTACTCCTGAATGAGAGTGACACCTGATTTAATGAAGGCTTTTCAATGTAGATTCAAGGCTTTTATTGTTGTGTGTACATACTAGCTACAGAGTGTAGATAAGTCAATGAAAATCTGAGGTCACAGGCTCCTCCAACAGAGCAACACAATACTGCAAGTAAATAGAATAGTCTATATACAAGTCATTGGAATATTGATATATATATAAGTTGCAAACAGTTGGATGTTCTTTTGAGAGTGATATATGATTTAATGAGGGCTTTTCAATGTTAATCTGCACGCACAAGCCTCACAGTGTCACATGATAGAAGACCACTGCGCCACGCAGAAGAGAGGATTATTTTAGGGGGGAGGTGAGATCGTAAAGCTGCAGAGATGGGAGCAGGAGGGGGGGGAAACAGGTTTGATGTCAGACTGCTGCAGTCGCGGATGGGCGGGGCTTACGGGCTGTCACTCAAACAGGGACGCCATGCCGCAGCCACACTGTGGGGGAGGGGCTGTGAGTGAGGAGTGGTGTGAGTGTGTGTGGGGGGTCTGTTCTGCAGCTATCAGGCATTCTGTCTGCAAGTCAACCCACAGAGGAAACAATAACAACGCTGCAGTATGTCAAAAATGTCCTGCTGTGAGAGAGAGAGAGATACTCTGATGGTTACTGATCCCTCCTGTTGTCTTTGGGTCAAATTTGACCCGTCTATAAATGCTTTTATAATAATAATAATACATTACATTTATATAGCGCTTTTCCTGGTACTCAAAGCGCTTTACAAGCAAGTAAAAATAACAACAAAAGTAAAAAGTGCTAAACTAGGTGGAATAAGGGCGAGGGGTTAGTGGATTAGGAGTTTTTATATCGGAGAAATAGGCTTTTTTTAATCTAATGCTTGAATGTTCTTTGCGAGAAAAATGTATGATCACTATTTGCATTGAATTATGGCAGTGTTACGTTTATCAAAATACACTCCTTACTAAACGTTGACATACCAGTGATACTTCTGATATTAACTAAAGTCAAAAAATGATGGGGTTATGATTGATACTATAGGCTTTATACACAGTCAAACCAGGACCAGAGTTGCAAAATTGGGAGAAAGACAACACAAAGGTTAAAGCCTCACTCTTACCGGGTCAGAGGCTTCTTACAAACGTCATGTCCAGCCGCAGCCAATCCAGAGAGAGCGTCTGCTGCCATTTCTGCTCTACTTCCTCAGACTAATGTTGTGCTCAGGGGTCACTGGCACCGTGTCCTCAGGCTGTGAGCAAGGCACAGAGTAACATGTTATATTAACAATAATTAAAGGAGCCGCTTGACATTTTGGGAAGGAAACATGCCTTCTGGTGGAGAGTGAGAAAGACGATTAATACCCCGATGTCAAGGTTTCAAGGCTTTTATTCTCATAGTGTAGATGTGACAATGAAATTCTGAGGTCACAGGCTCCTCCAACAGAGCAACACAATACAACAGATACAATAGTGCAAGTAAATCAAATATAATAGAAACTGCCATTTGTCTGTTAGATAAAAGGCGGTTCGCTTAGCACAAAGAATAGAAAAGGAGGGAAACAGCTAGCATGGCTCGGTTTGAAGGTCACCAAACGTTAGCCCTTTCGCCTTTTTAAACATCAGTCATTTACAAGAATATCTTTTATTTTCTTATTGCATATAAAACCTAACATTCCCAGACTATTTATTGGATAGGAACAGTAACTTCCCACAGTCACAAAACTAAGAATTCTCCACAACAGGCTTCATAAAACTACAAAATGGCGGGTGTTTTTTTTTTTTAACACCATTCTTCAACATATTGAAGAAAGCAAAATACATTGTTATTTAGTGAGTTTCAGAGATCTTTGCTCAGAGCTAACGGTTTCTACCTTTTCCCATCACTTAAAAGCTAAGCTACGCTAACAGGCTGTAGCCTTATAGCAGATTATAAAGTGGTATTGATCCTCTTCCCTTACTCTCAGAGGGAGAAATCATTTCCTAAAGGTTTTATTTATCCTTTGAATAAACGTGAAGGGCACTCAGAGGGCGCAGACATTTGACGAGGAGAAATGAGGATGAATAATGCACCACCCGAAACAGCTCAAGCTACATCCGTTCAAAAGGTTTAATGAAAACAGAAACAGACAAAAAACATAATTTCATGGAGTGGAAAAAGAAAAGAAATATACAAATAAGGATTATAAAAAATGGTATATCTTACAGACTTACAATGTGTGTTAATTAGAGTTGTTAAATATATCACGAAGCATTAATCCTCTCTTCATATTAGACATTCACTGTCACTCCATTTAACAAGTGCAGCTCTAATCGTCCCGACTCAGCATGCAGACAATTATCTCCTCCCATAATGCAAAGCTCAATACTCCACCAGCCTACTTCATTATACACAGTCCATTAGGGCTGACACTCACTATTACTTTCAGTTTGCATCATTTGTTTGGTTCGTAAAACATCAGAAAATAGTGAAGAATCTCCTTTTGTCAGCCAAACACTTCATAACACACAGGAAAGCAGGATATCTCCATCTTTGAGAGTCTGAAAACGGCTTTTTTTTTTGGTCATTCTTGCACAGAAAAATACTTAGACACTCAATCAATGATCAATATAATAATATATAAGTGACTAATGATCCACCCTCAGACCCTGCTGTCTGCTAAAAAGCTTCAATAGGCAGCTGAGTCGTTACAGACTCTTTTCTCTCAGCTCGGATTAATTCGTATCGATTGTTTTGTGCAACTTGATACTCCGTTGATTCAGAGGCTCCAGCACACCGTCTCTGATAGATGGAGACGGATAATCCTCTGCTGGGTTTTAATGAGGAATCTACGGCTGCTCCTTCAAAACAGCAGACATGAAACGGGAGATGAAATCTATTACATTGATTAGCCAGAGGAACCAAAAGACAACCCTCGGTGCCATAGATCTCTCCGGAAACACTCCAGGCTGTTTAGAGGAGGTCCATCCTTCCTGCAGGCGGTGGGGGTGCAATCTGTGAAGGGTTGAGATGGCGCTCCACGGGGGGTCTCTGCATGTCTGTGTCCTCCATCTGCCGTCTGTCTTGTCTCTTCCTGTGTCCTATTTGTATTCAATACAAAGATTCAAAGGTTTAATTGTCACATGCACAAAGCTACAGAGTAGAAATGCCAATGACATTCTTCTGACCTGAGCCCCTCCAACAATGCAACATATAGAATAAAATACAAAAATAAAAAGACTATGTACATCTCAATAGAATATTAAATTAAATAATGTAAATTAAGACAACATTAAATATGTTTGTGTGAATGGTAACTGGCGTCATTTATGAGAAGGGACATGTCCATACAAATGTTTTTAAATGGATTTTTTTGTCCTCACAGCTTTTTAAAAGTAACATTTGTTCAAACAGTAACTTCCCACTGTCACAACAATTCTCCACAACAGACTTCATAAAACAACAACATGTCGGGTGGTTGTATGTTTTTTTCTGAACACCATTCTTCAATATATTAACAAAGCAAAACTCACTGTTATTTAGTGAGTTTAACAGGGTGTCCGCGGGGTCTTAAAAAGTATTAAAAGTTGATAAATCAATTTAGCGAAAATGAAGGCTATTAAAAAGTATTAAACGGTTTTTTCCAAGGTGTTACATTTTGTAGCTTGTTTTCAATAAGTATATAAATTGTCCAAAGAGGTTGTGTTCTACAGTCTGCCTGAATGTAATAATTGCGTAGGTGTGTAGTGTGATTCTGTGTAGTTTATTTATGGGATCCCGTTGGGTTTAACGTCATCTGAACAGGACATCGCACGCTCACTGCTTGATAGCGTGCGAAGGTCCGTTTACGTCGGTTGTTAAACAACATCGTTATGGGGAAATGCAAGTCTGCGTCCAAATGGTTGGAAGATAAGGAGGAAGGACAATCAATACTGTATATAGTCAATATGAGGTAAAGTGTGTCGCCAAGGTAACCGGTTAAAACTCAAAGTGCCGATGAGGTCTTAAAATGTATGGAAAGGGTCTTAAAAAAGGTCTTAAAAGGTGTAACATTTGACTTCAGGATTCCTGGATATACCCTGTTTAAGATATCTTTGGTCAGGCCTAAGCTAACTGTTTCTACCTTTGTGAGGTGAAGATGGCGCTAAAAGTCAAATTTGTTCAAAAAAGTTCTGAAAAATAGCGCGCACAAAGAAATGCGATAAATAAGAACCCTTTGAGAAACATCGGTTTGCACAAGAAAACATGTCATCTTGAGAAAAAAATCACAGTTGGTGGGTATAAGAGTTGACATTTGAATTTGAAGTGACACATGTAATAGTAAACTTTGCAGCAGCAGGGTTCAGGCACTGTGATCGTTGTCAGAAATAACTCGTATATTAAAAGAATCCCACATTAGCCTACTGATTCTAAAACCACTCAAAAGTGTGCATGTGCTGTTCTGAAACGTAAACACATTCTTAACAAAGTTACTTCTTGTCCATGTTTTTCACGCTGAATGTGAACATGACAAACATCCATGAGCAAAGCCAGGATAACAAATACTACGCCTACATTAAAAGTGTATTGCTTGCGGAAGCTTAAATATTTGAATGCCTATCGTCATATTAAATTGTTCCTGCCGCCTGACTACAGTAGAAGAAGTACATGTTTCTGGTATCACTACTTAACTCTTTACATTCATTAGCTAACAATGACATTATTGTTCTATTAATATAAAGGGAGGTCAGGTACTCTTTAAAACAGCTGATAGTTATGGGTACTTTTTACTGAAGTACATTTCAAAGTTCTTTAATTTGACTTGAGTAAAGAAGTTTAGTCAGTACTTCTACTTTCACCAGAGTATTTTTAAACACGAGTATCTG